ATATATATATATATATATCAGTTAAGTCTTGATTTTGTTTTAAACATCACTCATAATTTTATAATCTTAAGAAACAGTATATCCAATATATATTGACTTGTTACCATTGGCCATAGAGAACTCTGATAAATCTTAAGTAGAAGTTTAAAATAATTTGAAATAAGAAAGATAATTAGTCAGCAAAGTTATTAGACATTGATATGAATTAATAAAAATTAATGTAAATAAGGAAAGCACAATTTCCTACTGTGGACTGGTTTTGCTATCAAAAAGGTCAAGTATGTTGACATCTAGTTAAAGGGGAGATAAAAGCAAATCACATGAAAGACACAAAATTGTTGTCTGTATCATATTCTCTTCTCTATCTTAAAGATCAGGAAAAAAATGTGTTTGTGTGTGTGTGTGTTTGTATGTGTGTATGCATGCACATATGTGTGTGTGTGTGTTCTATGGTGTAAGGCAATAAGAACTTGTGTCTTCTTACTAAATGATAAATATTAATTGAACATCATTCTGTGCCAGACCTTGTGCTAGATAGCAAATAATACAGCCATGGTCCTTCTTTTATGGTGCCGAATGTCTTGAAGATGATAAAGGTAGTAAGCAAGTAATTTATAATATTACACATGTGTTAGAAAAAGAAGCTTTGCCGGGGATTTAGCTCAGTAGTTCCGGCACCTGCCTCACAAGCACAAGGTCCCGAGTTCGATCCCCAGTACCAAAAAAAAAAAAAAAAGAAAGAAAAAGAAGCTTTTTCCCTTCTTCAGCAATTCTAAGACTTCCATAAGTGAAAATAATGAGCTACCAAGTAGTATCTATGAAGGTTCGATATTCCTTTATAAAATCACTATGTTAGAAACAAAGGCTAAGACCCTCCTGATGATATTTCCACTAAGGTTGTGTGTGTATGTGTGTTAATGTAGTCTGATCAGATAGGTGAGTGTATACGAAACGATTCCATTTTAATTTTGCAAACTTGGAAGCTTATGAGAACATAAGCTTATGAGAACATAGCCAGGGCATATTCCAGGGAGAATTTAAACTGGAGCCTAAATAGTTAGAGTATAGACAAAGGAAAATGTCCACTAACTTTTCTGGAGAAGGCTCTTCACCTTGGAAGCTGAATATATAGTCATTCATCTATGCATACACTCAAACATATAGAAGTACATACATGCACACATACAACAAACTAAGCTAATGCTTATAAAGTTATTTCAGTACTTTGGAAGGAGAATGTCATTATGTAGATCCTACAAAAGATAATTCTGGAAATAATTGAGATAAGGGTAGTTTAGTAAGCAAGTGTTCAGATGTCTCATGCATGCTTTAGAGAAAAGGCTAATCTGGCAAAAAAAAAAAAAAAAAAGAGAGAGATGAAAGAAGGGGGAACAAAAGGATATTAGAGGGAGGAAGAAGAAGAAGAAGAAGAAGAAGAAATGGTAATAGAAGAAGAAGGATCAGAAGAGCACACGTCTGAACTCCAGTCACCTACCTTTGATCCCCAGTACGAAAACAGATAAAAAAAAGTGAGAGAAAACTCAAAGGGAATTGGAAAAGGTGGGGCGGTGACTGACCGCTATTCTTCCTGTCTGTGGTTAGCTCACCACACATATCGTGGACATTTTGCTCCATCCCATGAAAGCTAGCCTCTGTCTATTCCTTGCTATTCAGCAGATAAATAAGACATAATGAAATCAGATAATATCCTAGCTGGGCGCCTTGGTGCATGCCTGTAATCCCAGCACTTGGCAGGCTGAAGCAGGAGGAATGCTTCGAGTTTGAGGTCAGCCTGGGCTACCTAGTGAGACACTGTCTCAAAAAAAAAATCAAATAGTCCAGATTGAGAAAAACTAAATTAGAAAAAGTGTTTTGGGAAAAGAAGGCCTTTGTTGGGCGAGGAATGTAGCTCAGTGGCACAGTGCCTGCCCGGCAAGCTTGAGCCCCTGAGTTCAATTCTCAGTACCAAAAAAAAAAAAAAGATGGCCTTTGTCTTTTTTATCTTTTAAAAGTTAAATGTTCTTTGTGTTTGGAGAGATGTAATTTGTTGGCTAAAAAGTTTGAGGTATTTAGAACAGTCTGTAAGAAAGATTAAAGATGTAGGCTAGTGAAAAGATTATTAATTCCTTCATATTCTGCAGATTGAGAATATTGTCCTGATGAAGGATTCAGAGACAGGCCACTCTAAAGGTTATGGTTTCATTACGGTGAGTCTCTAGTCTTTTAACTTTTTTTTGGTACCAGGGATCAAACTCGGGTCCCTGCGCTTGTGCAGCAGGCAGTGAAACCATTGAGCTAAATCCCTGGCCCTAGTCTTTTAACTTTTAAATTTTACTTTGGGAGTTGTCCGCTTATCTGATTTTGCAGTTTAGCTTCATCCTCCACCTTTAGGAACTGTAAATGATCTATAAGCCCTGCTGCCTAAAGTGTGGACTAGTCTTCTGCCCCTTGAGATGAGTACAGTGGTTGAGTTCTTGGCTTTGTTCCCACACTCTGTCAATGGCCGCAGTATAGGAATGTCCCGGTGGTCAGCCAGCTTCCTAGGTGCTGCATCTTGCTTTTTGGGTAATAGTAATGATTCCAGGCCACAACTAGAAGGTTGGGGGCATGAGGGAGCTTAGGTATGGGCTTTTACTGACAGGCTTTATAAAATTGGTGTACTCTCAAGGTAGCGGTGGCAATAGGGAGTCATACTTCCCCCAGCACTGCCCCACTTGAAGCAGTTTCTCTATTGAGACGGGTCTTTGGATTAGAATAATACTGGAGAGAGAATGGCAAGGCTGCCTAGTAGCAGCAAGTCACCTTTTCTTAACATTCCAACAGAATCAATTCCATTGCCTGTAACTGGTTCTTCCAGCCCCATTTGACTCCAGGCTCAGAACTGGCTGCCAGCCACAGAATCCAATAGAAGCTGCTATTTTCTCGGCTTAATACAGGCAGCATGCACCCCTATAGTTGCCCATAGGGGAGGAGGTGGTAAGTTATGTTCTATTATGGAAATTGTTCACCTCAGAAGTATCCTGTAAAGGCAAGTCACCTATACCAGTGACCTAGGAACTGTCTGTACCATGCATGGGCCCTCGGGCAGCTAATATCAGAGTAAACAAAGCCAGCTGTGGCATCAGCGACTCCATAGTGACAAGTACCCATTTCAGGCTTTCTTCTGCCTTTTAAATCAGTTGCCTTGACACAGAAATAGCAGACTGGAAACCCTCTTCATACCAGGGTGCTGCTGGTGAAAGGGATGAGGAGCAGAGGCCCTCGGCAGGTCTCTTATCAGCAGCACTGGTGTGTATGTTTGAGTAGTGGTGCTGGCTGCTGTCAGCATTAGAGTGTTCCCTCCTAAGCCAGGGATCTGGAGTTCAGATTTCTAGTACTTGATTCAGAGATAAAACTTAAAATGAATTAAAAATCCAGGAGCTTTGGCTTTAGCCTGCCTTCCATTTTATATGCCCATCTGTAAAACAACCTGTCAGCCTAGATTCCCTGTAGATGATAGACTTTCTGCATTGCTCGATTCATAGTGGAGTTAAAGATTGAAAAGTGATTGCATATATAAGGCTCTAGGTTTAATCTCTAGTGCCACTCCCCCCCGCCAAAAAAAAGAAAGAAAAGCAGAGTTATCGTCACTGAATTAGTTGGTCCTTTTCAGGCAACTGGGGCAGTGGGGATCTTAGGTCACATGCCCTGAGAGTTTGTACTATAGTGAGCGTGCAACTTCCTTGGGATAGTAAGACTAGTCGGTATTAAACAGGCTTTGAGAGCAAGTCTGTGCCAGGAGGTAACTGACACAGCTTGGGTTCCTCATAGTTCTCAGAATCTGAGTGTGCCCGGCGGGCTGTGGAACAGTTGAACGGCTTTGAACTTGCTGGTCGACCTATGAGAGTTGGTCACCTGACTGAGCGGGCAGATGGTGGCACAGACATCACTTTTCCTGATGGGGACCAGGTGGTGGATCTGGGATCAGCAGGAGGACATTTGCAGCTCATGGCTAAAGGTAGGATGTTCCTATTGGGTGAAAAATACGGGGTTTAGGGCTGGCGGTGTGTAGCTCTGTGGTAGAGCACTTGCCCAGTGTGCATAAGAGCCTGGGTTTTATCCCCAGTGCTGTGGAAAACAAAAAACTTGGGGTTGAATTGTAGATCAAGGATTGGGACTTAACCTCACCTTTTCTTCTCCTGTAGGTTCTGGAATTCACCTGCCAATTACAGCTGCAGCTGCCCAGGCTGCTGCCTTGCAACTGAATGGAGTGGTTCCCTTGTCAGCTCTGAACCCAGCGGCTCTGACTGGTAGACTTAGACTTGGAAAAGGGAGTTAGTGGTTGGGCATGGAAAGAGGGAATGTTCTGTGCTCACTCAGCCACTCTGCCTTTTTTTTTTCTAGCTCTGAGTCCGGCCCTGAAGCTCACTTCACAGGCAGTTGCATCCCAGTGCTTCCAGCACCCCAGCCTTTTTACCCCCCAGACCATGTGAGTCTCAGGGTCTGGCTTATTTTCATTTCTGCTTTTCTTTTAGCTTCCCATTTACCCCTTTCCCTTGGCACAGGTAAATCAGTGGCTCGGCACACTACTTCCCTGTGCCTGTGGATCCTGCCACTTCCTTCTCCACATCTACTCTGCTACTTCCTGTCTTCTGTTTTGTGGATTAAGCCATCCTGAGGGCATGGACATTGATTATGGAGGAATTGGGAAGAAGGGCTGCTGCCCATGCCCCTTTGGGAATGGACTTCGTTGAGCAAAGCCCCCGGTTGAAGAGATCAGAATCTACACCTACACTGAATACCTGTTTGTTCTGTGTGTGGACTCTCAAGATGGCTTTCTTGCCCTTTCCCATCACATCTTAGTGATTTCTGATTCCTCCCCATTGGGAAGGCCATGGGGCATTAACTGATGAAATTAACCTGTCTCCCTTCCCTGCACCTTTACTCTGTAATCTGTTAAGGAGAACCTGGTGGACCTCTGGATCTTGAGGACATTGGAGTATAGAGTATATACCTTGAAAGCCCTGGTTTTCTGCTGCAAGGACCCTGGAGGACAGCTAGAACATGTGCATTGTGAAGCCTGCCTTAGGCCTGTTTGGCACAGAACTACTATTGTAGGTTCAGGATCTTGCTGGGAGGTGTGGGAATCATCTGTCCTGCAAAGTAATTGGGGTGCCTCTGGGGCTTTTGGAGTTCAGGAAAAGGTGGGATACCTTTCTAGTATCTTCATCTTCTTTTGCATACTTCTCTGTCCCAGGTCCTCCCTTTGGCCTAGGGTGGGAAGATGGAAGAGAGGCTGCTACTCCTCACCACTTCCTGTGTGCCTCTACCGTGGACTCGACCTCAATGGTCAAAGCCACGCCAACCCCCACTTGGACATGTGTGAGCCCTTCTCACTGGATTTTATACCCTGTGTTGTGTATAGGAATAAATAAATATATTTATATAGCTTGTCTTTTGTACAAAGTTTATATATATATGTAAAGTTTAAGTGTATTATATATATATGTAAACTTTGTACAAAAGACAACCTCCATGTTGTGGCTGCTGTCCATGTGGTCTGAGTCAGTTGGTATGTCTGTATAATATTACCTTCTGAGCCAAAACCATGATGGTTGTAGGGATATAAAATACTAAACTTTATGCTTCCTACCTTGTAAGCGCAAGGTCCCGAGTTTGATCCCCGGCACCAATAAATAAATAAATAAAATATTCATCTTTAGAAAGCAAAATGGAGCTGAGTATGGTGGCAAACACCTGTGATCCCAGCACTCCAGGAGGCTGAGGCAGGAGAACTGCAAGTTCAGGCTCAGCCTGGGCAACTTAGTGAGTTCTTGTCTCCAAAAAAGGGGATATAGCTCATCTCAGTGTGTATTGTTGGGGTGGGGTATTGTAGATGGCTCACACCTGGGTGGAACTCCCTATCTGTGTCTGCATTACACTCTCAGCCACTTGGTTTACTCCATCTGTTGTCATCTTAACTGTCTCACCTCCATACCTACCTGCCCACGAGACACATTTCTAGGCTCCTGCTCTGTGCTTAAGGACAAATCTTATCTTTCCACCAGATGGCAGTGTTACTAGCACATCCTATGCCTTTCTTTGGGGGTGTTTTGTGATCTTGAGGAGCTTAAGTACCAGAGAAGCTTTTTAAGTTCACACTCTATCCTGTTGGGCTGACTTTGTGCCTCCTTTTGACACTAGTAGAAATCTCAGTCCAGTATCCAAAGGCCTTTGGATATTAGCTGTATACATCCAGGCTTCCCTGACCTGATGTCTACTATTTCTTGGTCAGTTCTGTCAGCCCTTGCTTTTCATATATAGCTCTGCCTGGGAGTAACAGGCTTGGGACCAGTGGATTCTGGAAAGCTGGTTATTTCAGTAACAGTCCTGTGTAAAGAGAAGGAAGTGCACCTGCCCCTGCTTGTTCTGTGTAACAAGGGGGTGGGAAAGAGGCTGGCTCACTACCCTAGGAACCAGCTGAAAAGAGAAGGCCTGAATTCAGGGGCAGGGTTCTGTGGGGTTCCTCCATTCTTTACCGATCTCTATGGCAACAGAATGTTAAGACTTTATTATGCTAAAAATATGGATAATTGCTGTTAGGCTTTAATTTGTCAGCTCTCAGACTTCTAAGTGGGATGATGGTTTTGGGCTGGTGTTAGTCTCTGAGGTTGTGCCTGCTTGTGTCATAGAAGGCGAGGGGGATTCTGGACTAGCTCCTGAGTTTTGCGGGCCAGCAGTCTCACTTGCTCTTCACTGTCACCCCCATACTCCCTGGTCCTACCCTAGTTTGCTTTCTGGACCTGGGGGAAGGGATGCACTGTTTAATTTAATTTTTTCTTTTTTTGGTACCAGGCATTGAACTCGGGTCCTTGCGCTTGTGCAGCACGCGGTGAAACCACTGAGCTAAATCCCCGGCCCGGGATGCACTATTTTAAAGTAGGAATTTCTGGCTTTGATCCAGCCCCCACCGATAGTATTGATTTGGCTGCTAATGCATCCTTAGAGGTTCAGTGGGGGCCATTTTCATTAGTCATCCTGAGGCCATGAGCTTGGACTCCTCCAGGTTATTATGTGCTCAAGCCTTGCTTCCCTGTCCTGCTGAGATGGCTCCATTTCTGCTTGATTTCCTCATGCTCCCATCCCTTGCTACTTTGGCTTTCTGAAACATTGGCCCTTCTGTGACAGTTCCTCCTTGCTCCCTGTTCCTCCTCATACAGCCTTTTGCTAGAGGGAACTGGTGGAAGTAAGAAACATCTAAGACAACTTCTGCTCTGGTCTTAACCCATATAAGATGATGGCATCTAGTGGGTGACAGCTGGTGTCACTGTGCGTGACTCATTACCTCCTTGTTGCTCATCCCTCCTTAGGGGGTGATCAGAGTGGAAAGAAGGGGGCAGTGAACAGCCTCTGTGCCTAGCCTCAGGTAAAAGAAACCTCCCTCCAGCTCTCCCACCCCAGCATGGGTGAGATAGACATAAAACTCTGACCCAGATTCTTTCCCAGTAGACTGAGAATTTCCCTATCAGGCCTCAGTTCTTGATAAGATTCTCACCTGACTTTGGACTTAGAGCCTATGCTTCTGTCTTCCCTAAGGCAGTACCACTTCTTCCTCTCTTTAACTGCTGTGTGTTGGCATAGGAATTCTGCCTGCCTCCTCAGACTCCAACTACTCGAGCTGTGAGCTATTGCTGGGGCTCACAGAGGCTTGACCTGTAAACCTTTAGTCTGACCCTTATGATGAGGGGAAATGGGTTAAAAATGTGAAGAGAGAACTCATACCACAGTCCATCTTTTCCTGTGGAGGAGGAGGTCTGATGAGAATAAAGGAGTAATACTTGAACAGTGAAAAGAGGCAACTGTCACTCTGAAAAAGGAGAAAGTAGAAGGTGCATATGATAATTGTTATGTCTGCAGGGTTTGTTGGTCAGGCCTGATTCTGATCACTTTATATGTATTAAATCATTCTCACAACTCTCAAGGTGAATTGTCTATTTTGAAAACAAAGTTGATACTCAAAGTGATTGAGTGATTAACTTGTTCAGTGATCTCACAGGAAGTTTGGGATTCCAATCCACACAGTCTGGCATCAGATCCCTTGACCTTACTTAACCTTACCTGCCTTTCAGCACCATTTTGGGAGCTAGGGCTTGGAATCAGTGGCCAAGTGTTGCTTTTCCTGTCTATACTCACTACTCTCAGTAGATACTGGTGTGTGTGGGGGGGTGCTGGGGATTGAACCTAGGACCTCACACATGCTAAGGAGGTGCTCTGCTTACTACTGAGCTACACCCCCAGCCATGATCCTGAATTTTTCTGCTTCATAGTCTTTGTTCATCTTGCTCTTTCTTCTGCTGGTTAAAATTCTATCCTGTTAGACCCTGAACTTTCTTAGTTGGAGTTAATCTCCTTTTTCAGTATTCCTCACCCTATTGTGGGTCATTCTGCCTTTATTTACAATTCTTTGTAAACTCTATTCCTAGATAATTATAGCCTGATGAGGCCATCACACAAGTCTTGTTCATTATTGCTTTGCCTTGCACATATTAAATGTTGAATTAATTCCCTCTCTATTAGAGTCAGAGTTGAGCTTTCCAAAGGCTATCTCTTCTAGCTTGCTTTCCCTGGCAGCTTCATCCTTTCCTTTCTCCAAAAGAGGATGCAGCTTTACTCTTATTGGTGTTACCATGGTAGCCTGATACTTTCTGTCTAAAGTGTTGCTTGCCATCCACCAGAGACTGATGTTTCCATGGCAACCAGGTGAAGGCAACTTTGATGAGCTAAATACAGGAGGGGAATTCTGGTCTGAGAAGCTGTGTATCTGAATCTTCTAGCTTCAGACATTCTTTCTCCCTCCCAACTTTTGCACTCTAAATCCAGAACTAGTTTGCTGTTGAGATTTGTGCCTGGTAGAGAGAACTATGTGAATGTGAGGCAAAGTAGACCAATCAACTGAAATCATAAGGGGGGAGGCAAGGAAAGAGCTGATCAAAGACCACTTTAAAAGGCTGGATGAGTTCTATTAGCTGTTCCAGATGATCTGTTCTCAAGAACCCTTAAGGAGTTGGCTGGAGTTACTGGAGAGCCATTAGGCAGTTATTTTTGAGAGCAATGGGTAGATGGATGAGGTGGTTGAAGACTGGAAAGGAGCCAGTCACTGCTGGGTTGCAGAAAGGGGAAACAATGACCTTGGAAATCAGACACTTGTCAAACTCTTGCCAGTGTTCCAGAAAGGATGAGAGCTTTACTCAGCTTTTTAAGCATTAGGAAGTCTACTTGTTTAGAATGAGGGGTGCTGAGAACTAGCTTCCTTTCCTCAACTCTGGCAACAAGCAAGCTATGGGACCTTTACCGTCTAGCAGAATGGTCACTCTGGAGCCACAGTGCATAGTTCAGATACCTCTTCCTTCACAAACTAGTTAAATAAGTGTGGGTACTTCTCTTATCTAACTCAGTCTCCTATAAAAAGAAGATAATAGTACCTATCTCCTAGGGATCTCCTAAGGATGTTGTGAAGATCAAATGAGATGCTGAACGTGAAGGGGTTTGAACGTGTTACTAGCTTCTTGTCATTACTCTCATTCCTCTGGGTGCCTCACTTCACTTCCTACCTGACCTCATTCTCTTCCCCAACTCCAGAGAATGCTCAGAGTTTACAGGGGGAGAAGCAGTGGTGAAAATAAATTTTCATTGTTCCTGGGCTAAAGTCCCATTGCTGAAAGGTCCTGTGTCTCATAAAACCAGCTTGCTTTCTAGTAAAACAAATCCCACTAGCCCAGTCTCATCATCCATTGGTTCTCAGAATTTAACCCAGGATGTGCTACATCCCTAGCTCTATTTTTAAGTGTTTTTTTTTTGTACTGGGGATCGAACTTGGGTCCTTACACTTGCGAGGCAGGTGGTGGAACCACTGAGCTAAATCCCCACCCTATTTTTAAATTTTAAGACAGGCTCTTGCTAAGTTTTTGTTTCCCAGAGTGCTGAGATTATGGAGGTAAACCAACACACCCGGCCCCCACCC